ATAATAACTCACCATTTTCACAATATGGAAGACTATCTTCCAAAAAGAACGGGCTGTTACCGAAAAGTTTGCCGCAATATGTACAGTTGAAACATTCTGGATGGAATTGTTTTCCAATGGCATTGAGGCAATCCTATGATTACAATATAACGATAAGATGACAATCATTGCAACATTATCTGTTAACGTAAAATCAATCAACAGATTAATAGATATGTTACCCCTTTGATTTTCTTGGAGCACTTGGAGCACACTGGAGCGAGATATTGCTCGAAACAGTATTCGCAGTACAGGCCGTTGTCTTCCTCCACAAAACCAATGTCTTGTAATGGACGTCTGCACTTTTCATTTGTGCACACGAAATGTTCCGGACACCAAATCTTGCCGAGAGCGGTAATAAATGGTCCTCTGTTCAAATAATAAAATATTAAATATAAACGTAATCGTAAACACCAATATTAGTGTAAAAACAAACAAAAATAAAATACCAAAGCAAAAAGCTAACAAACCTTGTGATTTGGGTTTGACAACAATTACATTCGGGGTTTTTAATGATCTTAGGTGCATTGCTATCGATGTCTTCTGTAATTGTAAGTTTTTCGAGTCCTGGGAGATTATTAATAACCGTGAGAAGCAAACAAACAACAATTAAGATGAGTTATAAAAACCAAAACATTATTAATCAAAACAAAACCAGTGCTGAGTTTTCTAACATTAATATCTACTGTTTTTCTTACCTCGAACAGTTGACCATAAATAAAACTGTAAGTACTAACTATTGCACACAAACAAACAAATACCCTAGATCGCAGTATTATTTACCTTATGTACAAATTGCATTGTCCACACAACGGCACTCTAGCACCAGGGGTTAAATTTTGTGGGTTCAGCACGCCACGACCCCTTCTGGGTGCTGTAAGACCAGCTGAAGCACCAGTTCTTCCAGTCGGCTGACCACCTATATCGGGTACGGGTATAGGTGTTGGAACACATTTAGGTTGTAGTTTTTTTGTAAGACATGTTAATTTTTTAGATAACAATGAAGCAGGTAATGATGATTTAGGCATAGGAGCGACCGGTTCTGCGGGAGTATCGTTAGTTATGGAAATTTGTGGTGTTAATGGAATAGAATCTTTAAAGGATTTTGGTATAGGAGTGGATTTTGGAGTGGCAGCGACAGACGTGCTGTTAGATGAAACGGGTTCAGAATTGCTCGATTTCGTGACATCAGGATCGGCGTTTTTAGATTTGTTTGAACCCCCATCTAAAGATGATGGCTCATAACCTAAGGCAGGAGCAACTTTACAATTTATATGAGTTTCTTGTTTTAAAAACGAAGTATTTTTTATAGATGGCTTTGGTGTAAATGTAGACACCTTTTCTTGAATTCCTGGACCTATTAATTTTGTACAAGATTTTTCAGAGGGGGTAGCTCGATGAGGATTTTCTGGTATACTTTGTTGATAGCGTGGGATATCAAATGGCTCATGGAGACCCGAAGCAGTGAACGGATGTCTAGGTAGAAGCTTAGGTGGTTCTGTTACCTCATCGATTTCTTCATCTATTACTTCTTTTGGCTCTTCCAGTTTGGGTTCATCAAAAACTAATTCTTCTACATATTCAAAACTAGATTCACTACGGTCGAAATCACCTGCTGCTGTGGACCATTTAAGCTCGTCCGATACGGGAGGGAAAGATTTCAATCCTAAAATAGCTATTTGTTCTTCCTCTGAATCAATAGCTGATGCAGGTGAATATATTAATGACCTTGTCATTAGTAAAGGAGCCACAGGTGTTTTTTTATTATATCCATGCATATATCGAACCGGGTTGTTCCCTACGTGTCTTGAGGAAGTATTTGATTCGGTTAATTTATAGCTACGATCGGGAGCTATTGCTAACGCTTCTGTCATGGTCATTGGTCTTTCTTCTTCTTCTGTGGGATTTTCTATTGGATTTGTAATAAATTCTGAAGCATCTACAAAAGTAGGAAGGGGAGAATAACTTCTCTCAGGAGCAGTTTTTAGTGCGGCAAGCATAGGCGATTCTGATCTATTTTCTTCAGCTACAATCATCGGTTGTTTCGATTTCATTTTAGGTTCAGTAATAGTAATATGAGAAATCGGCTGATCTTGTACAATGTTAAGTATTTTGGGTTTTGAACTACAATGTTCATCAACATTTTGAACATAATTTGATTCAACATTTTGAACATGTTTAGATTCTACAACTTCTAAGCATTCAACAGTGGATCGAGAAATTGTGCTTTCCACTTGATGAACGGTAGAATTAATTAAACCTCGTGATTCGGTTTCTTCATTAATTTCATGCTTTGGTTGTGGTGTAGAGGTTTTTGACCTACTGTAATTTCTATACTCCAGTGGAATTTCTGGTGGAAATATTACCAAATGAGTAGGTGAAATGGATCTGACATTATTATTTGGTGGCAATAGAGACCGAATTTCATGAGGCACTTCTGCAGTAGAAGTTTCTATATCATAGTAATTTGGAATTGGTGATTGAGATCGTTCTTCTTTGGATGAATCTATCAACATTTGGGTGGATATTGAAGCACTTAACGATTGTTTGCATTGGTTCAGTGTACGACTTCCATCCTTGGTACACGATGTGGGACACATACTTGAGTCAGTAGTTAATGGTTTAGAAACCACAGGACAAAATGCAGAACCGGTCGAAGATTTGGGTTTTAAGAAAGGTAATCTTGGTTGGGAGTTAACAGAATTTTTAGACTCATCTAAGGTTAGTATTTTAAGGTAAAAACCAAAATAAACATTTGAATTAATTTTTTATCTAATATAAATTATAAACAATAAAAAGCGTACTGAACAAATTATTATAATTTTAATTAGGAACCTATTTACTATTTAGGCTATATATGATATTTGTCAGATGTATTAAATGATTCTCATTCACTTTCTTTTTGCAAATTATTTTATTGAAACAAACATTTTAAATACTAGTAACAATAATTGTAAGTTTAATAGCTTTAAAAAATATATAGAAGTGTTTGAGAGTAAAACTGATGGACAGTAGGTACTAAAATATTTAAATGCGGTCAAAAACTGGTGTAATATAATATTTGTGAATCGTGGTGACATTTTGAGACTGCTTTAAGGCGTTCGAGTAAATGAAGGCGCTGAAGGAGAAGACGTTGTATTAGAGAAAAACGGAATAGCCTTACACAATTTAACAGTACTTGGATGGTCACTTTTAATCTTCAATGAACTATCCACAGTTGAAGTGTGTTTTTTGTCAAGATTTGGTACAACTTTATAATGACTATTTGCAGATTGATTTAAAAATGACGTGTCACTTATTAAAGTATTTGTTGTAAATGTTGACACTTTATTTTTAATCCCTGGTCCCATAGACCTATTAGATAAGTTATCGGAAACTGATGATTGTATCGGTTTTGTTATGTTTAGTTGATATTGTGAATGGTTCAATGGCATATTTTGATTTGAAGTAGTAAATTTGTATTCAGGAAGAATTTGTTTTTGTTTTTCAAAATTGGGCACACGAGTAATAAATGTCTCATTGTAGTTAGATTTACTTTCTATTGGTTCGTAGGGGCCAGTAATCGATAAATTATCGGAAGAAAATTGAGATGATCCTAAACCTGTTATTGGTCCTTTTTGTGAATTTATATTTTGTATTTGTTGAGGTAACTCCTTATTAATTTGTAACAATATTTCAGACGTTTTATTATTATATCCGTGCATGTATCTAACAGGATTGTTTCCAATAGGCCTTGTTGAATTTTTGATATCAGATGATCCAAAATTAATATTTTGAGTTTGAAAATTTGAAACTGTTTTATTAACGCCATTAGCGGGATCTACTATTGGTGGTGGTAAGAGTTCAGAAGCATACATAAAAGTTGGAAGAGGTGAATAACTTCTTTCGGGGGCTGTTTGCAGTGCAGCTACTAATGGAGATTCTGGTCTATTTTCATTTTCTGGAGGTAAAGATATCCAAGGTGCCGGTTTAATAATCGATTCAGTAAGAGCAACTGGTGTAAATGGTCGATCAGGTGCTACCTCCATTGCCATGCTAATTGGCCCCTTTAAACCACGAAATTTAGGTAAGTAGTTCAGATTCACATGTTCAGGATATTCATCTGGATATTGAGAAATATTTTCTGATTGAGATTTCGTTTTAAAAGCAGTCGTCGTTACTGGTCCATTCATAATAATAGTTTTATTTTTGGGCTCTGGTGTATGTGGCTTAGAGTATGTTCGATATTGAGATGGCATTTCAGGAGGAAAAGTGATTAATTGATTGGGTGAAATTGCTCTAACATTATTATTTTGTGGCATTAAAGATCGAACTTCATGAGGTGCCTCAGCAGAAGTAAAATCTTGACCTTTATCATCTGGAATAGGAGAATGGGGTCTCCCTTTTTTAGTAGTTTCTATTAGTAATTGATCTGCAATTGAGTCATTTAATGAGTGTTTTAATTCAGTCATTGTACGACATACTTCTTGAGAACAAATAGATGCACGTTTTCCAGAATCATATGACACTGTCTTAGATACCACAGGACAAAAAGCAGAACCGATCAATAGTTTTGGTTTTAGGAAGGGTAATCTTGGTAATGAGTTAGTTTTGTATTTAGGTTCATCTGAAGTTAGAAAATTAAGGCAGAACACCAATGAAAATAAAAATTGATTAAAATGCTTTCAGTTTTAGAATAAAAATTTACATATTTATAAAATTATAAGCATGTACTTGATATTGTCTTTATCCTACTTCAAATTAAAAGGACTATTAACCATACTCTTTGGTATAAGTATTCTGTTACTATTTAATTATATCTTATAGGTTGTGACTTATTGTAATAAGACATTATAAATTTTATGTTCTGACTTTATATTTTATAAAATTATTTAATTCAAACAAAAACGGTCAATTAAAAAAAAAATAAGCTTTTAAAATCATAAAAACCAAACAGAAGCTTAGAATATTTGTACAGATATCTAAGAAGTGAATACGGCTGAGAAAGGACGCGGTTTGGAGTTGAATGTTTTTATGTCTGAAAAATTTAAAATAATTATGTCTTGTATTATATTTTATGAGTTATGACTAATGATAAACAATAATTAGTGTTTTAAATTTATTGTTATTAAAAACTATATTTTTTTAATATGTATAAACCGTTTTTGCTTATTTTGAAAAATTATTGCTATACTACCAATTAATTTCAATATATTTTACGTATATAATATGTTTTTTTCTAATTCAACACAGTCAGAATATAATAATTATATTAACTACAATAAAAGAACCGATTCCATAACCAGCCATAAAAATCAATCAAAGTAGCTAAAATAGGTTGAGACTGTAAGTACTGGCTACTTTTAAACAAAATTACTGTAGATGTAAATCCGTTCTTAAAATAAAATATGAATTATGGAATGGTTTTTTAATATCTATTACTTATTAGGTACTTCTATATGCACATAAAAAGCTATAATTATAACTAATGGTTGTTTTACCTGAAGTAATAGATTTTGTTTTCAATTGAGAGTTGAAGCCTACAAAATAAATAATTATAGGTACAATTGTTTTTGCGTAGCACTATTACTTTATATTAATATAAGAAATAAAATTATTACGATTTTCCAATTTTAATTTTTGTAAACATTTTTTTGTGTAATAAAATATTCATTTTTTTTTTTTTAACATTTTAACATTTTTAAAATTGAAATCTCCACTATCTTACTAGGTAGGTTTAAATGTCTAGATAAAAATATTTGAATATTATTGAGACGGTTTCATAGGAATATTAGATAAAAAAACCCAAGGACTATAAACGCTATTCCTTGGATACAGTTGTTACAACTTACCACTACAAGAAACATACCTACTCTATTAATTTAATTGTATAGGTACTATTATTCCTCCAGTTATCATTTAATCCTCCTAAAACTTAAAATATTCTATATTTTGCCTGCATAATATCAACGTCTATGGATGGCAATTATAAATAATATGGGTTTAGTATAATTTTAGCTCATATAATAAAAAAGTTCATAACTTACCGGTCTGAACTTGGCTGTATCCACCAGAGAACATCGGAGGAGTTGGTGTTTGTTTTGGTGCTTCGTATGGTTTAGCATTCGAAAAAACTTTCGACGGAGTCTGGAAAATAAGTTATTTAAAAATGTTTGTTTCATTGTAAACAATGAGAAAAAAATGTTTTGTGCGTTTGTAAAACATTGTTGAAAAATATTGCATTTTGTAAAGCATTATAATAACACAAAGTTACAGCGTGTTTCAAAATTTTAACAACCTATATCAATTATAGTACAGTACAAAAATATTAAATATACTTCAGACGATGTCATACTGATGATATACGGTGATACATTTTAGATATATAATTTTAAGTGTAAACTGTAAAGTCAAAGCTTTGCAACACAATTTACTTTGAATAGGTACTAATTGCAGTGGTGAAACTGTGCAACCTGTAAACATAACATAACTCTTCCCTGGAATTTGTATAATAATATTTCTTGTGTTGGTATGTTATGTTTATTACAAATGTATACCAAAAGTTTTTCGTTTCATTCCTAATAATTATTGCTATTTTTAATTTTTCCACTGCCATGGACTAATTTATGACCACGTCAATATTCAGTAATCACGACTATATCATAGGTATGATGTATATCAAGCAACAACAATAATCAAAAACATATTCATACAACCAAATAATAACTGTTAACTAACTATAAAAATTATAAATTTAAAAAATCGTATTGTTTTGTTATTTAAATACAAACATAAATACGCTTTAATTATAAATTTCACTCGATTTATGATGAACAACGGTTAGTATTGAAATTTTCCACATTATATATAGCATTGATCTACCTGCTGTTTGGGGGCGTTTACGTGACTAGGAGCTTTTGGAGCCTGTATAGTAAAAATATTTTTCATAAAATAAAAATCTTCAATTTATAAGAAATATATAATATTATAATAAGTAATAACATAACAAGATGTTAAACATTTCAATATTTTAAATAAATTATGATTTATATAACTTATGTTATATTTATGATTTATGTACCTGCATTGAATTTAATTAATAAATATAAAAGTCGCTAGTACAGTCCCCTCAAATGTTGTAGACAGTAGACCCCAAGACTAATGTATTTTTGTCTTAATACTGTTTTGTTAGTAAGTAGACAATATAAATTAGCTATAAAAGTATAGTAGAACACTACATAAAATAATAGATAAAAGTTTAAATTGTATAAATAAAATAAATGCTTTACTATCAGAAATAAATGTTGATCTATTTTCAAACTATTATAAATTTGTGTTTATCTTTTGTATTAAAAATATGCATTTATATAGATTCCAAAACTTTAACTTACGTGGAATGGTATTGGCGATAAGGTGCTTGGTTGTGGTGATTGTACAGATTGTACGTCCTTCGGTTTAGTTGGAATTATATTGAACGATCCTAAAGGCGGATTTGAGCCTCTGTTAAAAAAGAAAACCAGTAGAAAATAACTAGGTAGCAATAACAATTTTTACTAATTTCACAAAATCGTGGGTAAGTACTTATAAATAATATTTTTTTAGGTTTTATTTGATTCACCGAGAACTTACATAATTTTAATTATATTACTATTTAGCAGCATTAGTCATTACTAGTATTACTAAGTAAAATACAATATTAGATGTAGTGAATATATAAAACTAAAGTACTAAAGATCTATTTAATTCTTTCATAGAAACCTAAAAAAAAGATTAATTTAAATTTAAAAATTAATTTATAAAATCAATAAAAATGCATGTTAATTATTTAATTTATATTCGAATTATTCATTGAACAACTTACCTACCCACAAAACAAGTACTGTTTATATTTTTATTCAAAATTAACTTAACCATATTTTCGAAAATATAATTTCTGTAGTCTTAAAACGTGTTAAATTAAAAACTAATAATCTTTGTGTAATCGAATTTTTGAATATATATTATCATTCAAAATTAAAATATACTATTTTAGTAATACAGTGGAATCTCTACAATTCGTCATTTTTGGTAAGCTGAAGAACAAAACTAATTTTCTCAGAGTTATAATTATACCTAGACTAATTTAATTTTATATTTTAAAGTTATTAATGACACGTTTTTTTTTTGATTTGGCACTTCAAAATGTTGTGCTTCAATGTGCATTAGGACTACACTAAACAATTCCATTATAAGTAACTACTTACGGTGCTACGGTAACTGGTTCCAAATTTGGTGTTGGTGGATTTTGTCTGGCAACCATTTTGGCATGAATGTCGCAATACAATTTGTTGTTGATGTTGAAATAGCCCACGTTTTTCAGAGACGATCCACAAGTGGCGCATTTAAAGCACTCGACGTGCAGACTTTTATCTTTGATGCGTACGAACACACCGCTACATTAAAATTAAACTTTTATTATTTACATAATAAAAATGAATATTATAACTATCAAACACAAAACATATTAGTGCCACGCGTGTTAGTTTGCTTTAAGTGGTTTCGGGATGGGTTTATAGATGATTGACCAAGGAAAATCCATCAAATCTTACATAACATCGTTTCTGCAATCACTGCACTCAACACGCTTCGCATTCTCCACGTCCAGTTCTTTCAAAGGAGAACCCAAATATGGATCACGCTGTTCGGGCATGTGCATGTTTGCTGCTATAGGTGTCATAGGGCGTGGTGATGTAGCACGACCCCCTATCGCATGGCTCGAAGCCGAGAAATATGCGAATTTCGATTGTAGGTCTATTGTTCCAAAATAAAATAAATTTCTTAGCCTCTAAATTCCGAAATATATAAAAATCAGAAATTTCAGACTTATCTAAATGCGTGATAACAAATACAATGTACCAAATAAGTTTTCAAGATCAAATGTCCACCCTACCACATTATCTTTTTCAAAGCGTCACCATAAGCACCAAGCACAATACACAACATTTCACATAACTTACACTATGAGTCTCTCACAATCGGCGCAAATATTTTGATTGGGAGCGCTTTGTGGTGCTTTTGGTTCAGGTGCGGACACATGCCGCGTTGTAATTTTGTTCATCGTATCGACAACAACGTGTTGATTAACTTCTACGTATAGAACATTTTGAACGTCATGGAGAAAATAATACGACAAAGACATTTTCTTTTTATATTTCAATTATTTATCAGTTGTGGTATTACGTCATAAAAATTGCATTGATATTTTACCTGTATTTAAATCCCTTGGTTCTTTGTCGGCTTCCTGTACCATTCTTAACACTTCGCTATTATTAGCTTCGTAATTTTTTTCGTTTTTCTTAAAATTGACTCTGTAATTTTGTAAAACTTAAATTACCATGCATTAACAAAGGTTGTGAAACGTCCACTAACCCTAATACTCCTCCAGCCAATACTTCCGCTTGAGCTGTAAGCGTCTCAGCAATGTTCTCCTCGCTGTAAATACCTACTGGTGTGTTGTACTGTTTATTTACAATAGCTTTAACAGTACCAGAATCATTATTGTATCCACTCGGATTAACCTACAAACATTTAATTAGTGAAAATACACCCATCATGGATTTAAATGATTTGTTTATTTACTTTAGGCGATGAAGTTCCACTATATGGCCGTGAAACAGAATTGTGCGAAGAACCAAATGCAGGAGATTGTGGTCCAACTTTGGCTAATGATGTTTTTGTCAGTATTTGTGGAGATTGGGACAGACGACTGGGCACTGGACTTGGTCCAACAGGTGTTACTGACGGTTTCCATGTACTTGTTCCACCACTAAATCAGAAGTAAGTATACTTTTTTTTGTGTTCAGTCAAGTTTTACTGTCAATAGGTCATTTAAGCTTAGAGTTATAAATTATAATTAGTATAATAATTGTAAGCTTATATTATACAAGTTAAATTTTTCGGATATTACCTATACCTATTGTAAATCGGCTTACAATATAAAATAAAAATAATTATTTACAGTATTGAGGTAACTTATAAATTAGTAACACCTACTATTCTTAATAAATAAAAATTATGATATTATAAACTAATATCATGAACGTCATAAAAAAATTGAATAAATTAAAATATCAAGTGTACTTAAAATACTTTCATATACATTTTATAATTTATCTACAGACAATCCTTTAATTTAAATTGATGAAAATAAAACTTTAAATTTGAATTACCAAAAAGGTAAATTTAACTTTGTTAAAACATTTATGAAAGAAAAAATATTGTCAGTATTGTCACCCCTAATTATTAACCAAGTGAACACAAACAATATATGTATATTATGCATGCGCATGTAATGTTTTTTCTTTCGCGTGATTTATCCAAAGTTGGCTATGATCCGAAAAAATATTATTTTCAGCAATGTCAAAGGAATTATTTAACAAGAAACATTAATGTTATTACTTCCTTTTAGAAATAGAATTCACAAAACATATTCCCGGACATATACATTTGGACACAGACCAACCACATATTGCATATACAATTCAACGTCATATTAGATACTGAATTGCAATATTTAAATGATAGATAATATTTGATTTCCAGACGATTAGTAAGGATTTAAATGTCATAAAAAAATTAATACGATTTAAGACATTAATTAGTAATTATATTAAAAAATGTCCTTAACGATGTTTTTAACATAATGCTAAATAAAAATGATTCAACTACCTAAAATCTATTTGCATAATTTGAATTTACGTAATTCTGTGTTATCGCAATTGAGCAATTGATGCAAATCGTAAATAAAACTATCCGTCTATAGATTATATATCTGCCTGCACGTGACAAAAATGTTGTTTGTTAGACCGTTGAGCTTGTGAAAACGTCACCGCTTTTGTCTAGTACATAGGTAAAAACATAATACGTAGGTAGATACCAGATAAAAATAATATGACGAAGCAAAATAAATAATATATATTTAATTTTTTTCTTTTTAGCGGGATAGTATATTTATGGTACCTACCTATCTACCTAAATATATATATCAAATCGTATCTATTCTTAATTCTTATAAAATAAGCTAAACATGTAGGTGACTAGGTATAAGCATTGATTAAATAAACTGAAGTATATTTAATCTATGGTATAAACACCTACTCAAAATATGAAAAAAAATCCGAAAAATACTCTAGAAAGTTTAAAAAATGCAAGTTAAACGAATTTTGTGATTAGAAATTGTTCTAAAACATTGTTTTAGGACATTCAGAAAAAAATTCTATTCGCGTTTAAATCCACGTCCTAATGATTAGTAAAGACATATGTTAGATTATATAGTAATATATTCGAAAATATTGAATACCATTTATAACTTATAGGTACGTGTCAAATAAATATTTACTTACATTTAAGACATACAAAAACTGTGAGTTTGAAATTCAATTAAACACAATGAGTAAATATATTAACTGTAGAATACCTGTTTAAATTTACGTCATCAATTTTGTAATACAGTTCCAAAGTTACTTACAAATAACATTTTTTTTTTAAAAGCATTATTAATTACTACACTATGAATGGAAATATAAAGTTAAAAACAAAATGTACCTATTCATACACTTGTGACAATATTTTTGGTTTTACTTTTTTAACCTAATTTATTATTAACATAATGTTTTTATTCTGTTTTATATTGAATACAATTTCCAGAAACCGTCTCTTTCAGATTATAATCAAAAATATATTTCATTCCGTTTCACTACAAACCGCATAATATTATGATAGATCATAGACGGTGACTATATTGTATTGTTGTTATATTTTATGATTAAAAAAACGGATTAACGTCTCGGCGACGTAATCGTCACAATACACAGCACGATTCGACAACAATATAGAATATAGGATTTACCTACTGAATATTAAAAATTATCATTTCCTTTACCGTTGTATGGTCACTTCAAAAGCGTTCCCAGCTCCCAGGATAACATCTTGGGCATCCTTGTGCTTCACGTCATAAACATCTTGATTATTGACCCTAACTAGGGCGTCGCCTACTTGAAGACCAGATTTCTCGGCCAAACTGCCAAAATTCACCTGAAACAAAACATTGCATTTATGTTATTTGACGTATTATGCGTGTGTGGACAGTTATCGGTGTAATAAAAATTGAAATGCGCTTCGTCATATTATTTATACATTTTATATTATACATTATACAATAGATATTTACTCGTTAAAGACTACCTACCATTGTTTAGTTAAGCCGGCAATTGAATAGAGATACTTCAGCATCATTAAACAACAAGTGCAAGGCAGATATATGATAATAATATTCACTGGCATGGGTCATATTATTATGATATCATGCTCTATGTATTAAATAAAGAATGTAAAGATGTATTATATAAAAAAAAAGTGAGTTACAAAAGTTGAGTGTCTCAGTGGATTGGGGATCTTTAAATGTACACGTAATGATGATAAATGTTTTTCACAAACTATATCTGCACGTTTTCAATAAAATATGCAATCGAACGAAAACTACATTAAATAATGTCAACTAAGCGTACAAAAATAGATGATTTCATGAATTAAAAAAATATTTGTTGCAATTATTATTGAAGACAAAAATATAATATAGGTCAATTTAAAAGCACAATATGGAACAAATTTTAAAATAGATAAAAATTACGAGAATAACTCTATGAACTCATAGTTGATAAAGATGAAAATTAAATTATAGACTATAGTATTGAATAATATAAAACAAAATATGAACAATATTGGAATAAAATAAATAAAAATGTAAAAAATCTTATAAGTCTGAAAATAAAATAGAAATATAACAAAATCACAAGATTTTAAATTTCTCTTCTTTCTTTCTTTCTTTGCTAAGTTTCTTAAAAATATGCAATTGCTTATACATTACTACTAGTGGTATAAGCATAAAAAAAGGTAAACAAAATTTGTCTACAAAAAATGAACAATATTATCGTATGTCGTATTATTGTCTATAAAAAAATTGGTATTTTTATTTATTAATTATTTAATAAAATATCTTATCATTAGGTATAACGTATTTTGTTTCATTAACTGTTCACTTTATACTGTTTAAAAACTAATTAATGTCCTTGTAGGAGGTAGAATAAATTAAAATTGTTTGAGGTAAACTTGTATGTTTAAAAACATTGCCTAATCTATGTATTATTTTTATTATAAACTTTATTTAATTGTTTGAAAAAAATCATCCAGTTTTAATTTCTGCTTGTATAAAATAGTAGATGTTTTTCAAGATGAAGTAAATTTACATTTTGTTTAAAAAAAATTATTATTATTATTATTTGATGCTTAAATACGAATAAACATTTACTGACTTGTGGTTCACTGAATGTGATAAATGAACATATTATGTTTTATGTTCATAATATCTTGAACTAACTCTGTAGAGGAGTGTATATATTATATATACCTTCCTACCTACATATGTTATAATAATAATAAAGCTAAAATAAAATTTCGATGGGCCTGAAAAAATATGAGGTTAAATAAAAAAAAATTAAAAATAGAGTGTCTAGGGAAGAATATATTATTGGAAGATGTTCAAAATTAAAAAAAACTTAAAGTATAATTATAATATATTATACTCATATAGTCATATATATACACAAGACAAACATCTAAGGAAATACTATATGTAATTTAAGGGGCACGTCATTATTGTCCATATTTTATAATAATATTGTTTTGTAACAAGAACAATTAGAAATCTATAAAATATATTTTATTTTGTTCTTTAAAAATTGATTTAAATTCCATCTAAATGCTGACTAACAAAATATGTAATATGAAGACTGCGAGTTTCCCAGAAGTATGTTTTTTTTCTTTGGGAATATTATATTGTTGGCCAATTATTATAAAATAGTTGTGCTGTAAATCGAAGAAAAACGCTGATATATTATATAGAAACATTACTATGTTGGCCTAAGGTATGCGACTTCATTATCATGACATTTTTTTAACTGGAAGTTAGTCTGGAGTAATAATACGTAATTAAAGATTTCAACTGAAACAACAATGGTAAAAGTCAAAGGTACCTATTATAGAAAGATACTTTAAATACCTATAGACGTAAACGGTCAAGAGATTAAAACTTTAAATTATTGTATTTCTGCTGAATACCTATTTTGGACATAATTATAGTATGTAGGTACATTGTACACTAGCTATGTATGATAAAATGATAAGTTAATAAAACACATATAATTTATCGTTATATTACATGTCGTGTAATATAATATAAGTACTGTATAGTAGGTGTGTTTAATATGTGTTAAAAAAACGGAGAGTCGATCAGCTGTATAGTAGGTTTCGAGTGCACCTATTGGTATACATATATTCTTCGTCATTGATTAGGACATTGTGAACGGATGTATTAAATTTAAACTTAATGTCAAAAATGATATAGGTACCTAAATCGTAGTAAATGAATAACTATTTTATGTATAGATGTGTCAGCCTTTAATTATTTATTCTAAGGATATTTTTTATTTTATCTTTCCATAACTATTTAATACTACAATATTTGTACTTATTTTTGCCAATAACATCGCACATAAATGCACATAAATGCATATCATGTATTATTGTTATTAACTCATTAATCAATACCGTTGTACAGTGGAACGGTGTAAATATAGGTTCATATATAGACACGTAGTATAAATATCCAAATAATAGATTTACGAACGGGGCTTTCGAGAGGAAGAGGGGAATCTCCCCGGGGCCCGGAATTTTTAAGAGAACCCAGAATTTGGGACTTCTTAACTTTCTCTACTTTTTAACTGGAGAAAGAGCTAAAAATAATAATTTTATGAACACAACAGAAAAAATTAACTCCCAACAGTTACATGACAAAGTTTTAATATATATATATATTAAGTGGTCAGTATAATAGGTGGTCAAAAAGATTGGGGCCCCCAATAGGTATTGCCCACGAGCCAGGGTTTCTCTCTCCAGGGCCCAAATTACGCAAATGTATAACGAACATTTTTTGAATTACAAATGTGATGACAGATATAAAATAAAAATACACACACATAATATTGTAAAACTAATACGCATTAATCATTCAACTCAACATCTATAAAATAACTATTAACTAGGTACACCTAATAATTACGATTTTACCTTTTAATTGTATAATTTAAATATTTTAAATATTATTTCAAATAACCATCTAATTCAGTGCCTGCTTCAATCCATTATTTATTATACATTTAAAAATAAATAACATAACAACTAAAACGGTTTTCTCAATTCCTACACAAAAGATATAAAACATTCTGTGTTTTAGTTTTGAAATCTGTTTTGATAAAAACACGAACTACCAAATACATTCACCTACCTATATTTTAAAATCTAAACAGTCAAATATGTAAATACCACTGTATGTGTTTAAAAAAAAATGAACTGAATTTTCTTTCATTTAGGTTTACTGTACATAAAAAAATACCTTCGATATTGTTCGAATATTTACATACTGAACTCGGCACGTAATTAAACGCATATTGTTCACGTATATAATATAATAATGACTAATGAGTATGTACCGAACCAACCTACACTGTTATAACTTGTTATAAATATTATTACTAGGTACCATATTATTCCAACAGTTTGTCAGTTTAACAGATTGTATTACAAATAATATTCCCGATTTAATGTTTTAATAAATAATCAAGGACGATAAGAAAAAATAATTAAATTATTATATAGACCGCCAGCAAACATAATATAGTACCTAATATCTACATATTTTGTTTGGTAAATATTTATAGTGATTTTAATTTTAGTAATTTATTATTACGTATCATATATTTTGGATTAATAAATTAATAAATATGAAATATGAAATATGAAAAGCCATTTTTCTGTCTTCAATACGTCAATACGTACCCGTTTCTGCCAAAAGTATACATTTCCCTTTACGGCCAAATCATACCTATTCATAATAGTATATTTAAACTATATTTTTTACTAGTAAAAGTGTAAAACTATGTAGAATAGATGTATTATTATTTATTATTGATAGTGTAGCCTTTATTATAGAAGTAATTTTCCAGTACAAAGTAACATATAGGTACATTGTAATATCAATTATTGAATTTTAAGAATTTTTAACTTACCTAATAATTTAATAACTACCTACCTATCAAATTATTCAATTATTCATTGAACTATGTATCTATGTCTGATTAATCATGCCAAAATGTTGTTTCGGTATAAAATAAAAATTCCTTAACAGTTAACACATAGTATCAAAGTGTTGCTAGCAGATACAGGTACCTTGCTAAAAAAAAACCCCACCCCCGAATAGTATTGTTTAGTTACGTCTTGTAGAGTGTACAAGTTTTTATTAAAATTCAAGTTAAAAAATATTATTAATTATAACATAGTACGCATATTAAAAATATAACATTTCTATAACCACAACTGTACCTAATAAATAGTATAGTTAAAACCCATTTTAAATGCTTCTCAAATCGAATTTTAATGCCTATTCGTTTTTTAATTGAAGAAACACAACAAATAAGCAATTATTAAATATTTATTATCACTAATGTTTATTCTTAACAATAGGTTATATAGCAGTTTTACAAATTGTGAAGATTATTTAATTTATACTTAGTAGACATAAGAATATACGTATACCGTATACCTAATAATTAAACATTAAAGAAAAAATATTCACTGCAGGTATTCAATATACCTAATACCTACCAGCGAATTTATAGGTACATATAATTAAATATAATATAGTTTATAAATACGTACACTTATAATATTTATCATGATAATTATTAATCATCTTGGAAAATGAATAATTTCGATTAAAACAGTGACTACATTTCCAAAACATAACTTTTATAAATACTAATAGATTTTAAAAATGTCATCCTTATCAGTTATCGTTCATTATATGATCATTAATGAGGCACATTGTTTATAATATATAATATTATAATATATTTAATTTGATAGCACAATTATTATTCTAATTGTTTTATAATAAGCCATTAAATAATATGATATTTTAA